ACGAGCTTACCTCGACTGCAGACACCCACAAACCCGCTCGCGACTCCACTGCGCCTCGCCGCTTCCGGTGCTGGAAGATGATGTCATAAACGGCTGCCTAGCAACCAGTGATGATTCCACTGTGTCTTCGAGAATCGGCTGAAACGGTCTTTCGCCCGATGATACCCAGGTGGAAAAATGGTTCCTACCAGGCACTTGTTCACCCATGAGGAGAGCTTAGCCTTCTCTGAGGCACCTGGCTGTCACTGCCTCCCAGTCTTTGAATCATGAGAGATTTCAGGCAGCAATCTCTTGCGGCTTATATACGCAGCCATGTCGTCTCTTGACACTTCCTCAGAAGCTTGCTACATTTTAAGGCCATCTTTGAAAGGGAAGGAACGAACGAAGTTGGAGGTAGTGAGACAAAACTCATTCTGTAGCCCAAGCTGGCCTGGAACTCACGAAAATCCTCCTGCCTTAGCCTCCCCAGGGCTGGGATTGCAGGTGTGAGCCACCAAACTCAGACTTGAGGCCATCGTTTAAGCTGCAGGCTGGACTGCCTTGAACCACGTTCAAATTACACTTTTCTTTCTCCCTTTAAGGAGAAGACTTAAGAGACAGGGAAGCCTACTCAGACATTTTTTTTTTTAATGCTGTCTTCGCTAAATGATCTGAGGGCAATCAGAAAAGCAGGAGGTTGTGATGACATATTTGTACAGATTTTTATAGTAATTTCAGGACGTTCCCTAAAAGTCTTGTATTGTAAATCATCAAAGACTTCTTGGCAGATGAAAGAATTCCAATCTCGTGAGTAAAACCAGAGTGTAGAATCTTAAACGCAATAGAAACGGAATCTTAAGGAGTCCCTTTTTTCCTCTTTTGTTTGGTTGTTTAAACAATGTCACACTGTACCCTAGGCTGGACTCAAACTCAAGATCTTGCCTCTACCTCTGAAATGCTAGAGTTCGGGCCTTTACCACCACGCTCAGCTAGGAGCTCTATTGTTTCTTAATCAAAATGGGTTACTATTGTTTCCATCTGTGGAAAGGCAAACTCCATTATCTGATGGAACTGACAAGACAGGATGAGAGGATGTTCCAGGGAACAAGGGAGATGCTTTTGTCAGCCGATGAGATATGGGTGTATATTCGGATCAGAGCAGGAAGGGAGGAAGATGTATAAGCCTCAAGGCTGAGAATGTGGTCCATAACTACTTAAGATATTTAGGCACCTCAGTAGCCTGACAGTTTGAGTTTTCCCTCAGGATTAAGCCTCTTAGCCTTCTACCCAGCCTGCCTTTGTGTCTCTTACAGCTAAAAGATGAACTGGGTCATTTGTACAAAATTGGACAGGGTTTTCATAGCCAGCATATTAGATCTAACCCATTGTCCACAGTGCACTGACCAGAAAAACAAGGTTGTTTGGAACAATGAATGCATGGCTAAGGGCATGGCAGGCACTTAGACATTCACCGGTTTCACATTGTTAGGGGTGTTATTGTTTTGTTTAAAAAGAAGAAAAGAGAAATTGCTGAGACAGACATAAGACTATAAGTTTATTATAAGGCGCGGCAGAATGGGGAGACTAAGAAGAGGAACAGGGGTAAATGGCTGACCGCCATGGCCGGTCGCCATAGAGAGACAGAGCGGGGGAAACAGAGACGGGAGAGCACACAGAGAGAGAGAGAGACGGGAGAGCACACACAGAGAGAGGGGGGGGCGCGTAAAGGGGCAGGGGCCTATCTTTTAAAGGACCCTGCGTGCAGACTTCTTTCCCATGGAACCTTGGGCTGACCAGGGTATTGCCTGAGTGGATTCCACCAGGTAACAGGGGCAGGCCAGCATAATGCCTGAACCTTTCAAGGGAATCAAGTGTCATAAATTTTTCAACTTCTCTATGAACCAAACAACTACTAATTTTTACCTCCCTAAAGCCCTACTATTCTGCTCTTAGCTTCCATTGGGGTTGACAATTCTGGAAATATCATGTAAGTGAAATCATATAGCATTTGTCTTTTGTAACTGATTTCATTTAGCTTGGTGTCAAGTTTCATCTACAATATAGCACATGTTAAAACTTCCTTTTTAAAGCTAAAGTTTTTTTGAATTTTTATCTATTTTGAGTATTCTTTCCTTTATAATTTATTTTTATGTGTATGAGTGTTTCGCATGCATGTATGTCTATGTACCATGTGTGTGCCTGGTGCCTGAGGAGGCTAGCAGAATGTAGACCCCTGGGACTGGAGTTACAGGAGGTTGTGAGCTACCATGTGTGTTAGGAATAAAACCAGGATCTTCTGGGGGACTAACTAGTGTTCCTAACTTCTAAGCCATCTCTCCAGCCCCATATTATTCTTGCTTGCTTGCCCTCCTCCCACCCCCAATATTTTTAAAGACTGGGTCAGGCTGGCCTTAAAAGATGACCTTGAATTCCTGATCCTTCTGCTTCAGTTTTCTTTTGATTTTGTCTTGCCTTTGAGACAGGGTCTCAGTATGTAGCTCTGGCTGTGCTGAAATTCTTTATCTAGGCCAGGATGGCCTTGAACTCACAAAGTAAATTCTGTCTCCCAAGTGTTGGAATTAAAAGTATACACACCACATCCAGTTTTGCTTTCAGTTTTCCAAGTGCTGGGATTACAGACATGTTTGACTATTGGGTTGTTCTTGCCTTTTGGCTATTGTGAATAATGCTATGTTTTATGAACATGGATGTTCAAAACATCAAGATCTGCCTTCAGTTACAAGTGGGCTTGTTTGGGCACATGGCACATGTGTGTGTTAGTGTGTCCAAGTGGATGTGTCCGCCAGCAATCAGTATCAAGTGTCTTCTTCAGTCACTCTCCTCCTGCCTTTTGTTTTTGTTTTTATTTTGTTTTTTAAGACAGGGTTTCTCTCTGTATCCCTGGCTGTCTTGGAACTCTCATGTGAACCCGGCTGACCTTGAATTTACAGAGATACGCCTGCCTCTGCCTCCCAAGTGCTGGGATATAAAGTGCATGACAACTGCCAGCATCCACCTTAATTTTTAAGATAAGAGTCTCTGGCTGATGTCGGGCGTTGGTGGCACACACTTTTAATCCCAGCACTCCAGAGGCAGAGGCAGGCAGATCACTGTGAGTTCAAGGCCAGCCTGGTCTTCAGAGCGAGTGCCAGGATAGGCTCCAAAGCTACACAGAGAAACCCTGTCTGGGGGGGGGAGAGTCTCTGGCTGAACCCAGAGCTCACCAGTTAGGTTAAACTAGCCCATAAGCTGTAGGATCCTCTTGTCTGCCTCTCCAGCACTGGGATTATATAATTCTACACTGGCCTCTTTTACATGTGACCTGTTGCCTCTGGGGCAAGCATTTTACCAACTGAGCCATCTCCCCAGCCCTGGTCATTTTATTTTTAATACTTTGAAAACCTCCATGATGCTTTCCATAGCAGCTGCATGGTTTTTGCATTCCCATAACGGTGCCCAGACACTATTTCTCTAATGTTTGCCAAAGCTTGTTATTTGTGGCTATTTTCATTGTTTTCATCCTCATCCACAGCTGGGTAATGTCTCAGTGTGGTTTTGATTGCAGTTCCCTGATGATTAGTGATGTTGCTCTTTTATATGATTATTTTCCATTTGTGTATCTTTGAAGAAATGTCCAAAGCTTTTGGCCATCTTAAAATCAAGCTAATAGTATCTGTGTCATATTGTAGGAACTTGGGGGCTTGATGATAGAGCTCAGGGTAGAACGTTTGCCAAGAATATGTGAGACCCCAGTTTAAGCCACAGCACCACACACACACACACACACACACACACACACACACACACACGTAGGACTTTTTACATACTCTAGATGTTACCCTCTGATTAAATTAGCCAGTGTTTCTTCCCATTTTTCAGATTGCCTTTTCCGTATGTTAACTGTAGCATTAGATGCACAAGAACTTTATATTTTGTGTCTAATTTACCTGCCTGTAATGTTGCCACCTCAGTTTTTTGTGTCAAGTCTAAGAAACCATTGCCAAATGTGCCATGAAGCTCTGTGTTACCTTCTAAGGACTTCAGAGCTTTAGATCGTAGGTTAGGTCTTTGGTTCACTTTGAGTTTGTTTCTAGACTGTATAAAGCAGAAGTCTAGCTGCATCTTTTCCTCTGGTTATCTGTTTTCCCAACACCATTTGCTGAAAAGACTGTTCTTTCCTTTGGTGTGTCATCCTTGTTGAAAATTCACTTGATCAAGTGTGTAAGGACTTATTTCTGGGGTTTCTGGTCTGTCTCCTTTATGTGTGTCTGTGTGCTTAAATCACAGTTTTAATTACTACACTTTTGTGATGATGTTTAAAATCAGGAAGTGTGGGTGAGAATCACCAACTTTGTTCTTGTTCAAACTGTTTTGTCTATTCTGCTCTGAAATTTGCTGTTTTAGTCAAACAGTCTGAAATGAAAATCAGTTTTGTGGTCTCTTGAAAACAAATCAATAAATCTAGCAAATTCTGGTGATGAACAACCAGAATAATTAAGATGCTCTCTGGGCTAGCACTGTCTGCATTCAGCCAGTTGACACACTGGCTGTTTCCATGAGAGATAAAAATCATTGAGATTCTGGAAGACTTCCAAGACTCCTGGTCTAAGAAAAAAGTAACTGCAGCCAGAGGCTGTGGTCCACTGGTCCGCAGACTTGTTCCAAAGGAAAGAAGAGAGTTATGAGAGAGTGTTTGGAAAACTGTATTTTGTTTTGGTAC